AGTGACTTTCTGAATTATTCCGGCGGCTGAGGCAAGGTTGATGGTGGTGGAGCTCATGGTTGCTGCGAGAGCAGTTCTACAACAACGTCCCTGCTTTCTTTACTTTAGCTTTATGGATGAACAAACGACGTCGTTGTGTATAATCGAAGGTCAGCAGCTGTAATTTGAAGCGGACGACGTCGTTTCGTTACAGGAGACTTGTTCAACCTTGGTATTAACTCAGTTGACACATTCAGACAACAAGTTACTTCTCCATACCCACCTTTTCCTTTGCTCGTGAGCTACATTTCCGGTGAAGGTTGTGAGGAACGGTGATTTGTTGGTGCACGTCTCGTCTGCAGTTGCAACGATTTAGAAGTAGTGTGGTTATTTGGTCAACATCATTAAAACGGTTGTGAGTGTGGTCACATTCGAACAAGGTACGTGGAACAAGTGATTTCTTTATTATCTGTGGTCCCCCTACCCTTATCGTCATTGTTTTTTGTTTAATGTGGTCCCCCTACCCTTTGGTGTTTTATATTTGGAATTTGTTGCATGTGGTCCCCTTTTCGTTATTTAAATTGCTATGTGTAGTGATTAGTGGACCCAAGTTTTTAGCAATCGAGCCATTTAAAAAATCCCTGGTTGTTACAGTATTATTGTAATATTATAATACATGATTGGTTATATGATACTGTAAAATAATATTATGGTAGTGTAAAAAATGTTTGAGTTCTGTTTTCTATGCAGATGGATGAATATATAGTCATAAGATATCATCATGGGGGTGTGTTGGTTAGGAATAATGAAGGGAAGCTTATTTATGCAAATGGGAGAGTGGATGATTTACCTGAAATGGATGCAGACTATGTCAACCTTCGTGACCTTGAAACTCTGTTCAAGGGGTATGGTTACCAAAAATGTAGACAGATGTGGTGGCTTAAGCCTACTGAGAGTGATTTAGAGGTTGGGTTATGTCTTCTTGAAAAGGACTCAGACATTTTGCAAATGATTAAGGCTGCCTTAGGTAATGGGAACAAAATAGAAATTTATTTCTAAGATTGCATTGCAGTTCCTGACATTTTGGCCGGACCTGTAGAAGGGAGTGATGGGTCTGTACCTCAAAGTGCTGATGAGGAGGGGGTGTTAGGTGATTCAGTTGGCAGTTCAAGTGACTTCCATATGACTTCTGCTAATGAATATGAAGAGGGAGAGGGCAATGGACTGTCAAGTGATTCATATGACGGTGTAGAAGATGAGTCATATAAGCCTCCTCCACCGGGTTATGAGGACAAAACAGAGGATGAACAGGATGAAGTGGATGAGCCACTTATTTCATTGAAAAAAAGGGTGAAAGAAAACAAGAAAAAAAGCCAGTTAACTAGCATGACAGGGAAGAAAACTTGGAATAGGATGAGCAGAATATGTCATTTGAAGAGCAGGGGTATGGTTATAATTCTGAAGAGCTGAAGACTCCTCCTTCAAGTGGGATGAAGAGGTTGAAAGGGTTGTGTTTCCGAAGTTTAATGCAGATAATACTTTTGGTTATGTACAACTTGAGCTTGGAATAGAGTTTGACAGTTTAGAGCACTTTAAAAATGGTGTGAAAGACTACAATATAAGTCTTGGGAGACAATTTAAGTGGGTTAAAAATGACAGGTAAGAGCAAGGGCCAAATGCTCAAATGAAGACTGTGAGTGGATGATATATTGTGCCTGGAACAACAAATTCAATACTTTCCAAGTGAAGACATTCAATGATTCACATTCGTGCTGCAGAATTTTCAAAAATAAAAGGGCCAGCAGGGATTGAGTTCCAAAAAAGTTGGAGAAAAGGCTGGTCACACGGCCCAACATGACAAAGGGCTGAAGCTTATGAGCATTTAAAAGAGGAGTACAAGGTCCATGTACATCTCAAGAAAGTGACCAAGGAACTGCGTAAAGCCAAGAGCAGAATAGAAAGATGTGAGAAGGAACAGTATGCCAAGTTAAGGGACTACCTAGCTGAGCTTTTGATAAGCAATCCTGGCTCCACTTGCCAGATGCAGGTAATTCCACAGCCTGTACCTGAAAGCCCACCTATTTTTTCTAAACTTTATATATGTCTTGATGCCTGTAAGAAAGGGTTCAAAGCTGGTTGTAGGCCATTGATTGACCTGGATGGTTGTTTCTTAAAAGGATACTATGGGAGACAGCTCTTGAGTGCAGTGGGAGAAGATGAAAACAAGAGCTTTTATGTTATTGCTTATGCAGTGGTGGACAGTGAGACCAAAGAAAACTGGAAGTGGTTTCTGAACTTGCTACAAGAGGACATTGGCAGTCATGTAGTCCATGGTTGGAACTTCATTTCTGATCAGCAAAAGGTATGTTTATTTAAAAGATCTTTTGTTTTTATATGGGTACTATATAACCATGTTTAATGATTTTTTTGAAAGATGACTTTGATGCTTCATATATGGATGTTGGGTTTGATACCAGCTTTGCAGGAGGTGATGCTTGGTGCACATCACAAGTTTTGTGTGCAGCATGTCTGAAAGAATTTCATTAAGCAATGGAAGGACAAGGGCATTAGGGAATAGTTTGGGAATGTGCAAGATGCACCACTGTACCTCAGTTCTAAAGAAGTATGCAGAAATTGAAAGATTTAAATGAAGATGCTTGGGCATATCTACACAAGATTGACCCTCTTCCTGGGTCAAAGCCTATTTTAGTCACTGGCCCAAGAGTGACAACATAAAAAATAACATGGCATAGGTTTGGAATGCAAAAATTGTAGGATATAGGTCCAAGCCCATAATCAGTCTATGTGAAGAACTTAGGTGCTACATCATGAGGAGGATGGCAGCACATCAAAGAATTCTTGGAACAGTTAAGGGTAAAATTGCCCCTGCACAACAGAAGAAACTTGATCAACTGAAGGTCCTAAGCAATTCCTGGACCCCTACATGGACAGGGAATTTGAATCAAGACATATACGAAGTAAGTGGAAAGGGTGAAAGGGTTGGAGTAAATTTAACCTATAAGACCTGTGCATGTAATATGTGGCAGCTGACTGGATTGCCATGTGAGCATGCAATTGCTGCAATATGTCACAAGAATGAACCAGCAGAGTTGTATGTGCATCAATGGCTGACAGTAGATGCTTTGCATGCCACTTATGCACACACCTTGAACCCTGTCAATTTTGATCAGTATTGGCCTACATCAAATGAGCCTAAACCAATTCCTCCACCATTAAAAAGGCCAATTGGTCGTCCCAAGAAACATAGGAAAAATGATCCAAGTGAGGAACATGGGACCAATACCAAAAGAGTGAAAAGGACATATGCTGCTAAATGTCCTAAATGTGGACAGGCTGGTCACTATGCAAAGACTTGTAAGGGACCAGCCGCAAGCAAGAAAGGGAAGAGAGCAGCACTACCTTCAAATCCAGTTACTGTCAACATACCATCAAGACCTGAAGATGAGCTCCCTCTGAGTCAAGGAGGACCTTCAGTACTATCAAGACCTTCCCAACAGCTGAAGAATCAATCAGAGGCAACAGCCCGCCACCTACTGCCCCACCACCACCAGAAATTTTGTCCAGTGAAACTCTGAATGCAACAAGCAGTGGCACAAGGAGCAGGCTAATGGCCTTCATGACACCTGGGTTTAGGCCACCGAGGCCAGCTTGAAAGAAGATGATCAGTTATAGGTTCAGTGTTTTTTGTATAGGCAGCACTGGTATCTTTGGCCATTTTTTTGTATTGTTGGCCATTACGAATTGTACCCCCACATTTTTTGTATTTAAGGCCTTTAGGTGAATTACATGGTGGTTTATATTACAATTGGCAGGCCCTCCTTTTGTTATGTACCTATAATTATGATTTAGTCATGTGGAAACTGTTTGATGGATGGGTTTAGAATTGTAAATGGCTACATTAATCCTGATTTATCAACCTTTGTCAATTGTTTTCTTTCCCTTTGTCAATTTTTTCCCTTTCTTTGACGTCAATATGTCTGTAATATTTCCAAGACTTGTGGTTGGTGGTTTATCAAATGATTTATCAACCTTGGTCACTTGATTTTTTGCTGCAATATGTCTCTTTATACATTTGTGGAAGCTGGTTTGTGATACAATGATGTCATGAGTTACAATGGTGGTTTGAAATGTTTGTGGTTGGTGGTTGGTGGTTTGAAATGTTTGTGATACATCTCTGGATACATTTTGCTGCAATAGGGCCATTCGATTGCTGCAATATGTCTTGTTACTTGCAATATGTCTTGTTACTAAACTTCTCATGCCCATTTTTTTAGTGTCAGGGACCAATTAGGGCCTTGATAAATATTGTCAGGGACCAATAGGGGTTTCGTGTAATTTGTGAGGGACCAAAAATAGTCCACAAAATCCCATTTTTAAACAAATATGACTGCATCCAACTTCCAACGTTTGATATGCAGATTGATTTACTTAATATAAAAAGGTGTGGTATGTGGTTTGTGGACCATTATTCCAGCACATACATTCATTCCACCCTGATTATGCAGATTGATTTACTTAATATAAAAAGGTGTGGTATGTGGTTTGTGGACCATTATTCCAGCACATACATTCATTCCACCCTGATTATGCAGATAAAATGGTTATAATCCATCATGGCAGTGGATTCATAACAGGAATAAAACATATGATGCAAACAGATGGCATGGAATAATCCATGACCTTGTTCCATTGCCATTGACATATAGTGTAGGCTTGAGCAAAGAAATCAGTTTACACAAAAACACATTTTCCAACAAATACATTTGGTACACTATATTTGATTGTTACCACAATTGCAACAAAAATACAAATCATTGAAGAAAAAATACATTTGGTACACTATATTTGATTGTTACCACAGTTGCAACAAAAATACAAATCATCATCACACCTACACAAGCACCAACTATGACCCTAGCTGACCTACCAACATGCCTAATTTCATTGTCCATCCTATCTAACTCTGAAACCATCTTCAGGTACAGCTCATTCAGCTTTCTTTACTGGTTATTAATCTTCACTTCTTGCTCAATAATCTTCCCACCTTGGTCTTTCAGCTTAACTTGCAATTGCTCATTCATCATCATGTCCACGTACTTCAACTTGAAATCCATTTCAGCAACATCCAACTCCACCTTGTGTATTCTTCCATCTTCAAGCTCCAGCCTTTCATTACATACGTCATCTACCCATCCGAAAAAATCACAAAACGGCTTCTTATCCTGCCAAAATTGCAAACCACGGTAAGCAAATATTATAATTTAATTAACTTCAAATTACAAATGTATACCTTGAAATTAGGGCACCCAAAGAATGCCCTATTTGGGTTTCTCTCTGTTTTGGAGGTATAGACGATAGTTTGCCTCCCATATTTGCACCTTCGACCGCTAATCCGTGAGGTTGTTCTCCACCCTATTGACGTACTCCCACTTGAGCCCCTCATGCCAGATGAAAGACTCATATTCTCCTATGCCCAGCAAATCCAGTAAATAACTTCTACTCTCCTCAATTTTCAGTCTTCAACGTGGGGAGCTTCTGGGGAATTTTTTTGTTCATGATTGATTTAGGCTGATTTAGGGTTCTGAAATTGACAGGGACCATATTGGGTCACTAACCCTTTCGATGCTAGGGTCACCTGTCCAAAAGTCCAACAAGACATAAGTCATGTTGTAAACGTCATCGTATTACTTCCCCGTTGGACGTGACGTTAGTAACTCAGCTAACTAACGGTCCACCTGCGCTCCGTTAGTTGGGTCGTTGGATGCCAACTAACAGAAGGACAAACGTGGCACTATTTTTCTAAAATTAAGGACCAAAAGGAGCCTTTTTTATTGTTGGGGACCAAAATGGGCCTCGTGAAGATTGTCAGGGACTAAAAATGGTATTTACTCAAGAAAGAAAGAAGACAATTCATTATTTCCCTTCGATCCTCCTTTATATTCCTAAATTGAATTTTATATCTAATTAATTTATTAGCTCAGACAATTCATTATTTTCCTATTAAATAGTTGAACCCTAATGTCTTAGTGTATTCAATCTTTTTACCCAATTAGAATTCTAGTGTCCTAGTAATTCCTTAAGCAAATGAATTTAACATTCTGCAATCTATGTAAGTCTATATCTAGATCATACACAGATTGTTATTCTACCCTTGTCAGAATTAAAACTCCAATATTCCTATTGTGAGCTCTAACCTTCAAAATCCTATAATAGAGCGATCAGTTCTATAAAGGATGTGGAAAAATTAACACAGGTGGAATAATACTAAATAAATTAAATTAATTATAAAAACAATTTAAAAACCAAAAAGGATTCACATTGGGTCCGTAATCTCAACTACAAAAAGAAAACTAGTCAGACATATCTGGCTTTAACAAATCAAAATAGTAAAAAGAATTCATAAAATAGAAAGAAAAGAAAAAGATGAAGAAGAAAAATCAATGGTCTTCAATCTTCAAGTTCTCCGGAATCCTGATCTCCAGTGTGAGTCTCCTCCTCTGAATATTGTTGCCTCTATCGAATTGTGTCTTTGTGTATCCAAGAGATGCCTTTTTATAGGGATGAAATCATATCTTTTAATTTTTCAACATATATTCAATGGAATCTTCACTAGAATCTCCTATCTTATCTTTGATTCAATCCTTCAAATCTTTCCTTTTTTTATTTAATGGAAAGCTTTCCTTAAAAGTATTCAAAGGAAGATTTGAAAAGATCTTCAATGATTCAGAAATCCAAAGCAACTCTACTTGATCTCTCAAATTTATCTCTTTATTGAGCTGAAATTTACTGCAAAATATAAAAAATCTTATGAGAATATTATTGAAAATTGGAGACTCATCATCATATTTATCTCTCAAAGCAACTCTACTTGATCTCTCAAATTTATCTCTCAATTTCATGCTCATATTAACCCTTAATGCATAGTAAATTGGAGACTCATCATCATCTCAAATTTTCAAAACTCAAAAAGCCATTATTTTTTAAAAAAAAAAATAATTTTCTGATCACCTAATACTGACTCCCCCACTCCCATTTTAATATTAATTGTAATCTAAAAACATATATTTCTCTTGAGCTTGATGCAATCTATCTAGAAATCTTTGAAATCTTATGGTTCCTACAACAAACATTCCAGAAGATTTTCCGTAGTCGGAAATCCAAATTCCTAGCACAAACAACTTCCAATCCTCCACGATCAAGAACCCCCTCCCCACCCCCCCTCCATCACCCATATCTGATGGCCGAAGATGTTATTGTGAAGATTAATAAGGGAGAACCCGCTCAAGGCAACAAGATTTGGAGCAGGGGAGGAGAGAGAAATGAGTAAAAGAGTTTATTTTATCTTGCAAATTTTTATCATTGGATGAGATTATAATCTAACAATATTAAAAAAGATAGGCAAAGTAGACAGATTCAAGAATAAGCAAAATAATCCATCCTTTGATATATTGCTTCCACATGCAACTTCGTTATTTATTAATCAACCTCCGGGAGAGTCTCCTCACGTTGCGAATAAGCAACAGAAAGCAATTCAACCGAAACTAGTTTGACCGATGCTAGTGATTTCCCAACTTATAACATTACAAGAAATGCAGAACATGACCGGATATATAAGGCGGAGTTTTTCACAAAATAATAATAATCTTGCATGTGATGCAAGATATAACAATTTATCCATCAGAGGTCAAATTTTTAGTTTATTTCAAAATAATAGGATTCTCTTGGATCAGGGTCGAAAATCAGGTCATCCCAATTCAGATAAAATCTATCTCCATATGTACTTGTTAAAACTTGAAAGAAAAAATTTAATGGGTTTTATAAGAGTTATGTTGTAGAAAAAGTGATTGTGTAATGTTATAGAGATTCGTTTTGCGTGCCTTAATTTTTTATTTATCTTTTTGTTTTAAAAAGTGTGGGCCCACAAAATATTGTGAGGGTAGGAAAGTTTGTTGTGTTATGTTAAAGGATAAAACGAAAACCCAAATTTAATACACAAAATTTAAACAAATAAGTTTTGCTTAAATTGAGACACCTGAGTGATTTTACTCCTCAAGAGAACATGAGAATCTCTCAAATTAACAGTGCCCTGTCTTGCAGAATGACCATCATGCAGGTTATGTTTTGAAATAATGAATATAAAGTTCCGATTGCTAAATTAAGAGTGTAATGTTAATATGTCCTTTAAGCATAGGAGAACTATAGGAAGATGGGAAGAATATTATTATCAAACTCATAATATAGTAACAGATACACAAAAAAAGCTAATCATGTGATGTGATTACTGGCCAAGACAATTGTTTTAGTTAGAAGACACAAAACTATATGCAATGCATGACAGCTCATCGCTGAAATCAATAATTTGTTATGGCTTTGGAATGCTAAAAATGTATTTTTTTTTTATGGAAAAAATGTATATCATTTTAAAGGATGTAAAGTTATGTCATTTTAAGTGAGAGAAAGAGATAGATAAAGAAAGAGAGAGAGTGGACAAAAAATATAAAGGTGTAAATCTCACCTCTTTGTGCGAGTGAAATGATATAAGTTGTGTCCTTTTAAAAGACAAACACTTTTTCCTTTTTTTTATTTATTGAAATTGTTGAGTTAAAGTTGAAATAATATTTACAAAAAAAAATGAAATTCTCAGAATCTAGGTAAAAAAAATAGAAAATAAAGATTGAATAATTTGAAATTGATAATGATTTGAGATATCAGATGTGTTATAAAAGAGCAATAATCATTATTTATACTAAATATAGACTCATAATTAATGAAAATATACGAAAATATAAAATCTAATTGTGAGAAATCATTAAGATACTCTAAATAATATTACGATTAAATCTTCTCTGTACTAAAAAGATATAATCATAATATTATGAAATATCCTCCATATATTTTAACACTCCCTCAAATTAATGCTTTATAAACTTTAAACTTGTTACAATGAATGTTTATATATATATATATAATCTAGACTTCACAAAACATGACTGGAAAGACAGCTCAGCGATGCTATTGAAGTCGAAAAGATGAGCAATGCTAAAAAGACAACTCAACAAGATGGTTGGAAAGAAAAGGCTTCGTGAAATTTAATAGGAAACTCAGCAATATAATAGTGACAACTGACAAGTCAAATCACATGTGATGGTACCACTCACGTTGAAATTATAGAAATTTATGTAGAGAAGAAAGAAAAGAAAGAATAGAGACTAAATAATTTGAAATTGATAATGACTCAATATGAAGGATGTGTAACAAAAAATAAAGCAATAACCCCTTTTATACTAATTTTAGACTCCATTTCCTACTTAAACAACCCTTTTTATTTTCACAAATCAAATTTATTTATTAATTATTAATTCGCAATAAATGATCAATGTTGATTCACGAAAATCAACGGTTAAGATATTATAATAATATTATTTGGTAATAACAATATTATATATATATATATATATATGTGTGTGTGTGTGTGTGTGTGTGTTAAGAACCTTGAGATACACCACCCCAAAAGCTAGCTCAAAGGGTGGGAGTGCCCAAGACCTTATAAACTTTACATTAGTTGCACATACAACCAATGTAGGACTATATATCTCAACACGCCCCCTCACACGAGAGCCCATTGGGCTTGAAGAGTTGACAATGCAACAGGCCCAGCCTACTTGTGCTAAGAAACGCCACAAGTGAAAGTGAGGGGCGGCGAGGCTCTGATACCATGTTAAGAACCTTGGGATACACCACCCCAAAAGCTAGCTCAAAGGGTGGGAGTACCCAAGACCTTATAAACTTTACATTAGTTGCACATACAACCAATGTGGAACTCTATATATCTCAACAATATATATATATATATATATATATATATATATATATATATATATATATAAAGAAATATGAAAACCAAAATGATGAGATCATCTAAGATAATCTAAACCATATAATCAAAGATATTCTATCAAGTTGCATTTTCATCCCAGACATTTCAAGCTCAATATTAAAAGTTTTTCCTTGTTAATGGCCAAAAGAGTAAGATGTGCATGGAAGAACACAAACTTTCCAAAGAAAGAAGCAAAATGCTTCATACATAATACTTGGAATCACATCAACTCGCGGTGTAAGGTGGCAGAATTAAAATATAAATATGTACAGGAAACAAAGTGGGACCAGCTGTAATCAAATGATGAAAACTGTGCAGATAGGAGGTAAAAGTTTTGATTTTAGCATTACAAAACAGAATATCTACAGGGAGGTTCAAATAATCAGCATTAACACACAGTACAACAAAAAGACATCCGCGCAGGACAATGGAGGAGAATAGAAAAAGCTTTCATTAATCCATTATCCATATAATTAGCAAAAATATACGTTACAAAAATACAGATATTTGTCTGGGCAAGGAGAAAAAAACTTTCTTTATGGGTTCCCTCAAATTTACATTTGCTACAGATCTACATAATTATGTAATACAAAAGAAAAGAAAAAAATGGGGCCTATGTTAGAACTCCTAAAGAATGAGAAGACAGGATAAACTTACAAATCAGGAAAAGGAAAGGCAAGGACAGAAAAAGAATGACACTAAACCACAGTTGCTAATCTACAACTACAAATCTGCTATGTATTTCCGGAGCATATACAGAAGGGTGACAGACTTAATAATTTCCCACCCCTGGAGTATACAAGCTATTATTGTAAATCAAGTCAAAGAACTTACAACGAATTGGGAGGTGTTGTTTGCGAAGAGGAATCCTCTGGATCACATACAGACGGGCTTGATAAATCTATTGCAGTTTCAAGGTTGAGCAAAGGTTTAATTCTTGTATGAACCTCGTCACTGAGAAAATTAATCTCTTCAAGAATCATTAACAAAGCAGACTTGCAAGACTCCTCATCCCTGAACGCCAATGTCCATCTTCCATCGACCAAAGCTTTTGTCTTTAATTTCCCATAGGCATTGAACTTGGCAGGATCCAGAACAGGTAAAGAGGATGGTCGGATCCGCACGTGTAACCATTTTGAATGTTTATCATCAATCCTGGGCTAAAGAACGAGGACAGAAAATGATTGTAGAATTATTATATACTGACAAATCCAAGTGAAAATAATTGTAATATCCATTTTTTTAAATTACATTCACCGTTTGGTTCTGTATCTAAACCAACAATATAAATTTGTACCATAATTGTCAGCTAACCAAACTACTAGCTTAAAGATAAAGATGCAAGGGTAGCAGACAACTATACATACATTGCACCCAGCCAAAGGTGCAGTAACCCGAACAACTCCATACGGCTTCTTCAGAGGCAACTCTTCTGCAAGCACAAGCCACCCAGATGTTCCTACAGAGATTGCTAGAAAGCAAAAATGACGCTCTTTGCCCCTCTCGAAAGCAATTCTACAAGGCACGGCGTTTACTGCACATGGCAAAAAAGAGAAATTTTACCAAAAATTAGTTGATTTCCAACAATAGTATTATGAGGCTTTCTTCTTTTAACCGGATAAGGAATTACATATAATATATAACCTAAAAGAAAACAACTAACTATTCATACTAACATCAGCATCATCTTAATCCCAAACTAAGATAGTCATATATAATTTTTAAGAGAGAGAGAGAGAGAGAGAAGTACCACCAAGGCAAAAAAAAAATCATCATCATCACCTTTATTCAAAATTAGTTGGGGTTGGCGGTTGGTGAACCCAAATAAAGAACAATAAAAATTTAAGGGAAAAAATAAATAAGAAAAAAAATTAAATAAATAAACAACAACTTACATAATAAGTTATTATTTAGAAGACTGTTAAAACTCCTTCAAATTTCAACTAGGCACAATTTACTCTCTTTTGCTGCCAGCAGTAAGGTATATTACCCGAAATTTATAGGTGTTATGTAACCTTTTAATCTGCGATCACCACGATATACCATGTTTATAATGCATTTTACGATATTGGCTTTATAGTGCCATTAACCCTTTAAGTACATATGAAAATCAGTTCTTCTTCTTCAACATACCGTTTCTTAATCTAACAGTATAGCTCATCACTCTTCAATAGCTAAGCACAAAATTATAAAAGGAAAATAGAAATATCTAATTATTTCCCCTTCCCTTCTCTAAAAGAAAAAAAGAGAGGGAATACAGAGTATGGAGTAAGAAGAATGACCGTATAGGATATGAATATAAGGATCATGGAAATATAAGATATTTGTATGTTTTGGTACATATCATAAGTGTGGTATTTATCAGTACGTTGGTGTTTTGACGATAGCATACAAAATTAAAAATTTCTATCTAGAATTAAAAGTATTTGACTTTCAGGTCGGGTCTTTGTTAGTTATTACTATTAGTTGGGATTGACTCTTTAAGGATGACAATATATTTTGGGTGGTGCTCTCAGACTATATTATGCAATTGAGATTCTAATAGACTTGTTTCTGTTCTTCCTCTTCCCAGCCCCCAGCCCCCGCTTCTTCTCCTAATTCTCTGCTTTCTTCCTTTTACCTCAATATACATAAAATCAGTCACCAGAGAATACAGAAAACTGCAGTTCAGAATACTTACCAAGGCTGACTTCAGTGCCTGGCTTTGGGCCCGACAGATCAACTCCAGAAGTCTTGGCACGAGAATTTGCAGAGACATCACCAGGAGGATAAATAAGAGGTTGCTCAGGCAAAGTTCTGCCTAGAGTGAATATTTGAAGTTGGTGCAGAAGTACAAATACCTAAGAGAGGGGATCAACGTAAAGCTCTTCATTATCTAAAGGTATAATCCATGAAGAACCAGAATTGATAGAAGTCCAGTATATTAGCATGTTATGCCATAGTGCATTTTTTATGAAAAAAACAAGACAGAATAAGTGCAGACCTTCACCAACTCATGCATTCTTTCTCCAGCAGCAAATGATGATCCCTCAGGTATATCTTCTATAGGAACAACGAAACATCATTTACAGGCCTTCTCACTCTTCCTTTCATAACAAGCCAAAAGCAAAATAAAAGTTGGAACAGCTACAAGGCTACAAGCTTACCTTCTGAGAAGAATATCTGATGTGGAAAAAGTATGCACTTTGGTTCTTTTGGAGGGGATGACGACTCCATTGCTACAGAAAGAAAATTATTTAGTTCATGCACATAACTAAACTACTTGAACATAGAAATCCATTAAGTTGAACATGTTAAAAAAGTCACCTCTTTTGCACTTTCTCCACTCATTACGAAGAACAGTAATAAGAAGATCAGGCCAGAAACCTCTAACCTCCTTTACAAGCGCAGAAGCAGAATTCTTGTATGAAACCTGTATTTGGGAGGAAAATAGATGCAATGCAACTGCAATTAGAAGATACAAGTAAAACAGATATGCGACTCGTATTTGATGTGTTGACTATAAAGAAATGGAAATATGCTAAATTCATATCTATAGCCGTATATTTCATGTATTAATTATTTCATATATATAATTGGTACATATGCTTCATTGCAAGCAATCATCTTATAAACCAAGACTGACTATGTTTGCAAATAAAATAACAATCATTCCCAATTTTAAACTTTATCTTTTTGTAATTAATAAATAATTGATTCGAAGATGATACTTGAAAGGTATGGAAGATTTTTATGTAATTTGTATAGCTGTCTTCTCTCAAACTACTCAGGACTTACTTGAAAGGTCTATGGAAATGATATTACGAGAAAGTAGAAAGAAATTTTTATTCTCCACAATATTAAGTAATGACCATTATGGAAGAGAAATTTAGAAACTCCTACAAAAACGTTTAAACCAAAAAACCAAAATATCTGATACAATCATACAATAGAAGCCTTATATTTGCCTCGTAAATCTCAAGAAAAGGGTTTAGGTCACCATGTCTTCCATTGATGTACCCAAAGACTTCTTATTGCTGAATTAAAAATTTCATAGACAAACGATAAATATGGAAGTTAAATTATGTATGGAAGCTTCCTACATATAGATCAGGAGTAACAAGTCCTTGCAAGTTATATATCTGGAAGAACATAAAAAAAAGACACATGAAACAAAATGATATTCTACGTGTGAGTCAGCAACCCCCCCCCCCCCCCTCTCTCTCTCTCTCTCTTCTCTTCTCTCCCAAAAAAATTACTTCAATACACTAAGCAAAGAGGTGGACTTCCTATATTTGAAAACAATATGCAATTATAGATGCATCCATAAATTTCTGTATAGTGTTGCTCGTAAAGCCTCAAATTTTCTTACTTTCAGCAATTCCAGGTGATGGCTGTTAAACTCTGCTTCACTGTAAGGAAGCAACTGGCGCAAAAGCCAACCACCATCCCAGAGAGTTTCCGCAGATATATTTGAACGGCAAAACAGGCTCACTAATGCATCGAGCACCTGAAAAATGTATCTCATATATATTATAAAATTGCTAAACTCAAAAATAATGTAATAAACTCATTATGTTGACTTTTCATGAAAAAAAGAGAGTAAAGAAACGATGCCATACATTGGAAAAATGGTAAACCATAAATGATAAAAACCATTCAGACCAGAGCATACTAGTTTTGTCCTATAGATGGAACTTCTTAGCATAATCTAAATGCTAAGGGAAACTACTGTTTTGAGGAACAAACTAAATATGAGGAACCAACTCTCCCAAAAACTTAAGCTGTTATGTGAAGGCACATGGATGGATTTAATGTTATACATCTAACCATGGTGAAAGCGTTGTCACCGATTTATGTTATATCTCTAACACCTCCTCGTACAAGAGCTATTTGGGTTTGAAGTATGGACAATGTACAAACTCACCTACCTAGTACTGAAATTCAACTTTTTTTATTAGAAGAATGGAGGTAACAAGGATCAAACTCTAGATCACTTGGTCATAGAGACTCTGCTACTATGTCACAACGAACTCTGCCAAAAGTTCAAACTGTTAAGCGAAGACAAATGAATGGTTTTTACATATATCTCCAACCATGGTGAAAACTTCATCACTGGTTTATATTATATCTCTAACATTAACAACAGTTTGAGAACCCGAAAAAGTATTACAATAGATATAAAGCCTTCTAAGAATAATGGCCAATACCTTATAGATTAAGTACAATATGATCTACCAATTTTATTTTTTTTCAAAATATGTAGCAATTTATGTTTACAAGGTCACAACATCAAACAGAAAAGAAGAAACCTACATTTAAAAAGTAAGAGAGGGGGGGGGGGGGGGGGGGGGGTTGTTGCACAGCCAAACTTCATTTTATTTGTTTGTAATGGGAAGTTAGTGTATATTTTTTATTTATAAAGTTAACCATATAATTGGATCAAGTAGTCTTTTCAGTCAAGTAGTTCACACGAATTTTGGTGCTTTTGATTGGTTTTTTAATATATTGACAATCTGTCAGTGCCTTTTACCAGCAATATTCTATGGGAGTGAATATTGGTGGTGAAGTGCCAACAAGAAGCAGACACTGAAATTCCTGAGTGGACAATACGAATGAAAGCATCCAAGAAAATGAGAAATGTCGATCAAATAGATGGTAGTCTGATTAAAAGGGGGAAGGACTCCAAACAGTTTTACTAAATATTTGGTTTTTGAAAGAGAGGCTGATGGTACCAGTAAAACAGAAACACTGATATTATATTAAGATATTGGGACAAGCCCTTGCAGTAATCAACCTTCTTACAAGTTTAATGAAACAGTAATGCTAATGACACTTAATCACGGATAAACCCATGAGACAATGTACCAGTAACGGAAATACACTAACCAATTAACTAAGAAATGCAGAAAGACCAATGCATCAGCTGTAACCTCCCTTAACGAGGAAGAGCACTCCATTCCTCACCAAGCTACCTTACCACACCATAATGCTTACTCATTCGCTGCCTTTCTTACTCTCCAATTTGTTTTTTATATCTGACTCCATTTCCTTGTTTCCACCCACTATCTCCTCTCCATTCAGTGCATTCCACGTGTAATTCCTTATAACAAACTCACTTTCCATATTTTCCTTCTCAACAGCCATCATTATCTGATTCATCATGGGCTTATCATTTTGGGCATTGTTCTGTTTCTTCATTTTTCTTCGCTCATATACCAACTTCAAGGGTCCAACAGATGCCAATTGAGCCGATTGATCCATGTAACATAATCCACCACCTAGTAGAATAAGGCTTGGTCATTGTTGTTTTTGCTTCTTCCAAAGACACCACTTGCAAAGAGGTTTAAACTCTTTCATAAACTGTTTTTGCTTCTATTGGTTGATCAACTATTTAAATAAAAAAATAATCATAGGCTTAAGCTAAATGCTACTTGAAAATATATTGTTAACAATATTAGGAACAACTAATCATTACATGTTCGTGCAAACACTCAATGTACTTCCTTCTACATATCTAATATCAATGAACACATCCTTGAGAAGTGTTTTGTTTCATTGCTGCAGCCTACAAGATAGGATTCTGTTTATGCCATCTCTTTGGTATTTGGCCCATGGCTGTTTCAAGTTAATATTTCTCATATGCAGACAAACTGGGCAGCCTTGCTGCATTCTTGAGTTACTCTCATGCTTCTTCTTGTATTTACTTTCTCATATTTTAATTTTTAGGGAATATATTATCTTTCCCTAGTTTTACTTTCCCTCTTTTCTCTCTGTATAATTCCTCTTCAATTACAAGAAGAAGAAAAAATGACATCATACAAGTATAATGCTATGGCCAGGTAGCAATTGTCAAGTATTCTAATGCTACAGTTCTATTACCTTAAATGAAAAGATGTGCCCACCAGTAAGGAGTGCTTACACTAAGTATAAATGAAACTATTACAACAAAGTATTTTAACAAGACTCCAGTAGATATAAATATGCACCTGAAATCTCGGTACTCGAGGGCTTTTTACCACATCAGAAAGCTGAAAAGATACCCCATACTGCTCCTGTAAATCATGGTAAACAAAATCTAAGGAAGCCAACATATAATTTGAATCATGCAATGAACAGCAAATGACTTTGAATCCAACATATACCATTCAAATCAATCTGATCCCATACTGCCAATACAAATAGCACTATTCTACAATAACTCAACAGCGGAATAGGGACAAGACATGTCACGAAGGATAGTACCATACTAATCAACATCAACAACACTTTTATCTTAAACTAATTGGGGTCGGTGGTAGATGAATCCAAATGAAAGGTACGAAGAGATAAAAATAAAAACAAATAAAATAATAATAATAATATATAAATATAAAAGTAAAAAAATAAAAATAAAATAACAATAATAATAATAAAATAAAATAAAGAAGAAGAAGAAGAAGATAGTACCATACTAATACCATGCTAAAATAATATGGATGGATTTAAGTATGGAAGGAACAAAAGAAAGAATAAATACTGAATAATCTGAAACTAATATTGATTTGATATGAATGATGTGTTACAATAGACAAAGCAATAACCCATATTTATACTAATTATAGACTCTTAATCATAATTAAATAAAGAAACAAATCGTAAAATATAAGAAAATATGAAAACAATCATAAGAGATCAATCTAAGATACTATAAACCATTCTAAGATATAATCATTATATTATGAGATATCTTTTAGATATTGTGAACTCTTCAAAGAGATAGCTAGTCTAATTGATCTTTCGCAAAGAAAAGACGCTATGGATGCCTTTGTCATGAACTGGAAAGGGAGAATCATGTAGACTTAAATATTCTATTGATCTGTTTCTAAACCATATTATATGGTAAAATTTACAATTCACGATTCAAATTTTGAACAAATTCTTGATACAATTCACAGTTTGACAATTATGATTATGAAAAGAGAAGGGATCAATTTACACAAGTGTAAGATTCCATATTCTAACACCATTTAATAATATTATATAAAATGAGACTTTTATCAATCCAAATGTTGGATTGTGACTATTTATTACCTTGATTGCTTCTGTCAAATCTTGTAAAAATTGAACAACAACAACAATATAATCAAATAGTTCTTATTTTCATATATTTCAAAAGTATATATTACGTTAAACTAGATATATAGTGTATACTATATACTAATGAAGTAGAAAATAATTTTAGATTATTGCAATATTTTATAAATATATCTAGATGATCGAAGTTTTCAATCTAACAGAAATCATCCAGTAAAAAGAACAATTTTGGCTTACACCCGTATAAACTGATCCTTCCTCTTATGAAAATATACAACTAAAATCATAAGAAAAACCCAGAAAGTATATTTTTAACATGATCAAATTAATTAATGGCAAACACAATAAGAGTCAAGTTAGGATGCACTATACATCAAAATCGGTTGTCTCTAATATTTGTATTTTTAGAATATCCCTTTTCTATGTGGATACCTACCACCCCCAAAGTAGTGCTGCTTGAAAAATTCAAAATGCCGATTCAAGTCCTGTTCTCACTAATTTCCTTTTTCAAAGCATATTCTTACTTTTGAATCTTTCCCTCCTCAAAATTATCAATGTGTGAATAGCATACTTTTATCCTCACCAAACAAGCTATCATGAATCATGATTACTAAGGGTGTACATAGGTCGAATTGAATTGATTTTTTTGAAAAACTGAACCGAATTGGTTTAAACGGTTCGGTTTGAAAACGGTTCGGTTTGGTTCGGAATTAGTTCAGGTCAAACCTATTCTGAAAAGAAAAGAAAAATGAAAAAATTAAAGAAATAAAGTAATAAAAATAAAAATAAAAGAAGCCACTTAATAAATAAATAAGAAAAATAGAGAAAAAGGAAAAAAAAATCGGATTATGAAGAATCCAGTTCGGTTCATGAACTGATTCTTTAAAAACCAGTTCGGTTCATAAACTGATTTTTGAAAATCAGTTATTTTAAATGCAGTTCAGTTCAGTTTTTTGATTCTTTTGCTCACCCCCTAATGATTACAAACATCTATGTTGTGTATTGTATTGTTTCAAATACTCATCCGGTCCCATGCAACATAGGAATCAATACAATATATAAAACTCAAGACTATGTCTAAATATATTACACTAACACCATAAAACACACACTATACAAACATATTCAAATATACCTTACATTATTATATCTAAATATTTTTTATTCTATGTTAGAAATAATATTATTTTATTATTATTAGAATAGTCTAGAATAGTCTAGATTGTGGGCTTGGCCCATTAGGTCATCCCATTAGGTCCTTTTAGTCTCTATAAATAGAGAGCTTCCTTGTACAGACTTACACACTTGAACATACAATATATTTCAGATTCAATTTGGTATCAGAGCTCTCGATCTGAGGGTTCTGCTTCCGCATATATATCTTTTCCTTTCTTTTTACTGCCGTGCATCATACCGGCAAACCTTTTTACCGCCGTGCATCATACCGGCAACCTTTTTCAACCCTCCGAACATTGTTAGACCCTTTTTCGATCTCAGATCGTCATCCTCCTTCATTATTTGACCAGAAAACACTGTTCACATAGCCAGAAACACTGTTCTGTCACTGTTCATCACTGTTCCGGCCACCTTTCCGGCGAGAAACCACGCGATCAGGATCCCCTCACGCCGGCGACCATTTATGTCCAAGACCCGTCCCAAACGGCCGCTGCACGCGCCACCACAGCCGTCTGCGCGTGGGCCTCACGCGCCACCTCTCTCCGGCGCGTGTGCACTGTTCCGGCCACCTTTTCCGGCCAAACCAAGGCAGACAGGCTCGCCTCTGCCTCCTCCTTCCAGATCCAGTGACCGATCGTTGTGGGTCTCTTCCGTTCGAGGGTTTCCAGTGCAAAAGTCGCTACTTTGTTCCTTTTTCGCGTAATTTTTTTACAGTTTTTTGGTTGTCTGATCACTGTTCCTAATGGAAGGAACCAGTAAACATTCTTCCGGCATCATTTCAAGTGCTATTCCATCTATCACAACTCTGAAATTGACCGGATCTGCCACTTACAAGACCTGGTCTACCTCCGTTAAGATCTGGTTTACCGGTCAAGGCCATGACAAACATCTCACCACTAAGAAGACTGATATTTCCATAGATCAGATGACTGAATGGGAGAAAGTTGATGCTCAGCTCCTCAGTATTCTTTGGCAATCCATTGATTCATCTCTTCTCAATATTTTCATTCCTTTTGAGACCTGCTATGATGTGTGGACGGAAGCCAAAAACCTCTACACCAATGATATTCAGCAACTTTATTCCATTGTCTCCCAGATGATGGATTTGCGCAAATCACCCGAAGCTCGTATGGAAGTTTATGTTGGTAAGATTCGTTCTTTGATGCAGGAATTTTTGGCTATGTTACCTCATGCTGCGGATGCTACAGTGTACAGGACGCAAGTGGAGCGTCTCTTTACGGTTGTGACTCTCTCTGGTCTCCCTGACGGATTAGAAAGTGTTCGTGAGAACATTCTAACCAGTACTGCGATTCCCAGCATATCCCAGACCTTTCAGCGCCTTCTGAATCTTCAAGATAAGGTGGCCCCCGCACACGTGCCAGCTACTGACTCTACTGCTCTCTTGTCTGATTCTGCTGCTTTAGTCTCTCGTGGTAATTGGAACAATGGTGGACGCGGTCGTGGTCGTGGCCGCGGACAAGGCGGTCGCGGGCCCATGACATCATATGGCCCAGGCGGGCGCGGACAGACGATGTCGTATGGACAGGGTGGCCGAGGACAAAGGCCTCGGTGTAATTATTGCCAATATCTGGGCCACATTGAAGAACGTTGTTATAGAAAGTACCCTCACTTGAAGCCACCACATATGAACTTTGCTCAAACAGATGTTGTGCCGCCCTCTACCGGATCAGTGACTATTTCCGCTGCAGACTATGAGGCCCTTCTCCAGAAGAGTTCTTCTCAGCCACCTGCTCCAGATACTGGTAATCATGTTGCTTGTTTTTCTCAATCGTCTCTTGGACCCTGGATAATAGACTCAGGTGCTACTGATCATCTTTGTGGTAATAAGGATCTTTTTACTTCCCTTACCTTTTCTAATAATCTTCCCTCTGTTACTCTTGCTGATGGCACCAAGGCTCCTGCTCGTGGCATTGGGCAAGCCAAACCAACTCCCTTCTTGACTTTAACCTCTGTTTATTACATCCCTGGCATTCCTTTTAATTTAATTTCTGTTAGTCAATTGACCCATTCTCTTTCTTGCTCTATCACCTTTTCTAAACAGTCTTTTTCTATGCAGGATCCGGGTACGGGGAAGACGATTGGAGCGGGCGGTGAGTCACGAGGTCTCTACTATCTGCATGCACCCTCTGCTCCAGTTGCATGCTCTCTCACAGAGTCTCCTGAGCTTCTCCATAGCCGTCTGGGTCATCCAAGTCTCTCGAAGCTTCAGCATATGGTTCCTTTTTTGTCAGGTCTTAAGTCTTTGAATTGTCAGTCTTGTCAGCAGGGAAAGCATACTCGCTCTTCCTTTGCTAGTAGAGTCAATAAGAGAGCTGCTGCTCCCTTTTCTATTGTTCATTCTGATATTTGGGGTCCGAGTCGGACTATGTCAGTTTTGGGTTTTCAGTATTTTGTAACCTTTATTGATGATTTCTCCCGTTGCACTTGGGTTTATTTAATGAAAAATCGTTCTGAGTTATTTTCAATTTATCAAAAGTTTTGTGCAGAAATAAAAACTCAATTTGGTGCTTCTATTCAAATCTTGCGCAGTGATAATGCAAAAGAGTATGTGTCTCTTGAATTTTCTAAATTTCTGGATACACATGGGACGATACACCAGACTACCTGTCCCCACACTCCACAACAAAATGGAGTCGCTGAACGTAAAAATAGACATCTAGTTGAAACTGCACGTACTCTTCTCATTCATATGAACGTCCCACTCCGTTTTTGGGCAGATGCTATTATCACCTCATGTTTCCTTATCAACCGCATGCCCTCTTCTGTGCTAAATAATGATGTTCCCCACAGTATTTTGTTTTCCGGAGCACCTTCTTATCCTCTGCCTTTACATATTTTTGGCTGTACTTGTTTTGTTCATGATCTTACTCCAGGTAAAGACAAGTTGACATCCAAGGCCTTCAAATGTATTTTCCTTGGGTATACACGTTTTCAAAAAGGGTATCGTTGCTATTCTCCTGATCTCAAGCGTTATATCGTTTCTGCTGATGTCACTTTCCTTGATCAGCAGCCTTTTCACTCTACTCTGTCTCCAGTGTGACAGGTTGATCAGGTCCTTCCTGTTCCTTTTCTTGACTTGTCTTTACCAGCTGCAGGTGATATTCCAGAGGAACAACCCATTACCTCCATACCTGCAGATCGTCCTCTCCTCACATACCAGCGTCGTCAGCCTGCACCTCCTTCGACTTTGCCTCTTGATGACTCATCGCCCTTTCCCGTCGGCTCTTCTCCTCCGGATCCTCCATCAGAGACTCCTCCCATTGCCCTTCGGAAAGGTATTCGATCCACTCGAAATCCTCATCCCCTTTATTCTTTCTTGAGTTATGACAGACTTTCTTCACAACATTTTACTTTTGTTTCTAGTCTCTCTTCTGTTTCCATCCCTAAAACCACAGGTGAAGCACTATCTCATCCAGGGTGGCGCCAGGCGATGCTTGATGAAATGCAGGCACTTCACTCCAATGGCACTTGGGGTCTTGTTCGTGCTCCTCCCGGGAAGTCTATTGTTGGTTGTCGATGGGTGTTCACAGTTAAAGTTGGTCCTGATGGCACTGTTGATCGCCTTAAAGCTCGCTTAGTGGCCAAGGGATACACACAAGTCTTTGGTCTTGATTATGGGGATACCTTTTCTCCTGTAGCTAAGATGACTTCTGTTCGCCTGTTTCTTGCCCTTGCCGCCATTCATCACTGGCCCCTTCTCCAACTTGGTATTAAGAATGTTTTTCTACATGGTGACTTGCAGGAAGAAGTTTATATGGAGCAACCACCAGGTTTTGTTGCTCAGGGGGAGAGTTCTTGAATGGTATGTAAACTTCGGAAATCTTTATATGGCCTGAAGCAATCTCCTCGGGCCTGGTTTAGCCGCTTTAGTTCGGTTGTTGAATCCTTTGGCTTAATCAGAAGCAAAGCCGATCATTCGGTCTTTTACCGGCATAGCTCTTCTGGGCAGTGCGTTTATCTCCTGGTCTATGTTGATGACATTATCATTACAGGCAGCGATCAGACCGGGATTGATCAGTTGAAAGAGCATTTATTCAATCAATTTCAGACAAAAGATCTTAGCAGACTTCGATATTTCTTGGAGATCGAAGTTGCACAGTCTAGGCGTGGCATTTCCATCTGTCAGAGGAAGTATGCACTGGATATCCTAGATGAGACTGGCATGTTAGGCTGTAAACACATTGATACACCTATGGACCCCAATGTTAAGTTATTACCAGGACAGGGGGAGCTACTGCCAGATCCTAGTCGCTACCGCCGACTAGTTGGAAAATTGAATTATCTTACTGTGACAAGGCCAGATATCTCCTTCGCAGTGAGTGTTGCAAATCAATTTCTTGATTCTCCCTGTGACTCCCATTGGGATACAGTTATTAGAATTCTTCGATACATTAAAAAGCATCAGGAAGAGGTTTATTATACACAAATAAAGGGAGTTCAGAGATCTCTAGTTATTCAGATGCTAACTGGGCAGGTTCTCCTTCAGATAGACGATCCACCTCAGGATATTGTGTTCTCTTCGGAGGAAATTTGATCTCTTGGAAGAGTAAGAAGCAAACTATGGTCGCCAGATCCAGTGCAGAGGCAGAATATCGGGCAATGGCAAATGCAACCTGTGAGCTCATCTGGCTGAGACAATTGCTTAAAGAACTCCATCTCTGTGAACAACGGACTATGAAACTCATTTGTGACAATGAAGCCGCTTTGCATATATCCTCTAATCCAGTCTTTTATGAGAGGACCAAGCATATAGAAATTGACTGTCATTTTGTTAGAGAAAAGATCCAGTCAGGGGAGATCGAGACAGCATTTGTCAATTCCAATGATCAACTTGCGGATGCATTGACTAAAGCTCTTAGAGGCCCCCGAACAGATCATATTTGTAACAAGCTGGGAGCTTTTGATATATACGCACCAGCTTGAGGGGGAGTGTTAGAAATAATATTAATCTATTATTATTAGAATAGTCTAGATTGTGGGCTTGGCCCATTAGGTCTTCCCATTAGGTCTTTTAGTCTCTATAAATAGAGAGCTTTCTTGTACAGTTATAAACACTTGAATATACAATAATATTCAGATTCAATTGAATAAGCAACAGTAAATGATGCAGGAGCAGATTTCTTATTAAGATTCAGAAGACGCTGATACGTCATTGATAGATCAGGATCCCCATGGTCAAGATAGTATCCCGGACATTATCATATTCTTCGGGAAGACCAGAAAGTCTGGCAACCATAAAGAGACATTCCACCTGTTTCCGATATGCAGACGCATCAATAGGTTATGGCAACATATCCAAATATGCATGCATCAGAGAT